GCTATGAGCTTTTTCGTTCGGATCTGGACGAGAAGTGATCGTTATTAGAATTTCTTACTCGTTTTTCGCCCCTTAGGGAATTGTACTTGGCACAAAGCGTGGCCTTAGCGTCAGAGCGGATAAGATCACACAAGTGTTTCGATCCACCTTCAATCCTTCTCCACATTTCTTCCGACAAAAGGCCGCGACAAGATTCTTCTTTAGCTTCGCACTTCAGTGAACACAGTGGATGTTGTTTTCCCTGACAGCCACATTGAGCAGCGATTGATAGATGTTCTTGATTCTAGGGTGTTTCAGGGAGGCCGCACACTGATTCAAGCTGTTTATCTAGAATGAATCTTGGGAGAATTCCAATAGCCTTGCCTCGTTAGCGAAAAAGGAGGGACTGCCTGGTGAGTACCATTTTTTGCCGCAACGATAGCGCTTTTCTCACTGGGCGAAACGAATTCGGCGGTATAGCCCTGGAGCAACCTCCATGTTTGCCTCTCTTGTAACCTGAGCATTTTGTTCTATTATTAGTCAGTGCTTCTGTGCCAAACACTTTATCAATGGTGGGACATTTATTCGCCTGACGTTCCGACCAACTCGTCGTTATCAGAGGCCTGAAAGCGTTTCGGAACTTCAGAATGTTGCCTATCACGCTTGATGGAGACCAGCTCTTAACTAGTTGCATCTCAGACTGATGAACTTTAAACTAAGTAGAAATTCCAACAAGTCACTCGCGCAATTCCGCCAATACCGAGCAGTTGCTCAACTTCAGTGAGGATAGAGCAATTGGGACAGCCTGGTCAACCACGACCTATTTATAGTATCGTGACGTGACACGTATCAGTCTCACTATGAAAGCTCACACAGAGGGATGTAAGACAAGAGGTCACCAGTTATGTTGATGCACTCATTCTTGTTACTGATGCTTGGATTTTGGCGTCTTATCCAAAAAGCTTCTAGAGTTTTCTGGCACCAATACTGTTTTCGTAGGCCAGTATCGTGCATTTAACGCCAAAGTCACAACCAGCATGACCTCCTCTTCTGAGCCTTCCGAACGGCACAATCGAGCAGTTCCCTTTCACACGGACGCATGACTGTTTCCCAGTTTCTCCGACATAGCAAGCATCATTAAATTTTTTATCCTTTGGAATTCTCCGTCATGATCGAACGTGTACCATTCATTGTTTAATATACTACGAAAATGAGCTGATATTGACAACAAGACCCGCCCAGCCATGAAGTCACGCCCCCAAGGGATCGGTCATGCAGCGAACGAAAGCTAGGAACGAATTATGATACATGCATGAAGAAGCTTTAACCAATTTTTGTTCAAAGTTTCTACTCCAAGGCAAGCATTCATGAAGCATAGGAGTAAGAGTGGGAGCATAGCAGTGATTAGAAATATTACCAAGAGACTAGAGGTCTAATCCAGAAGAGGAACGAAAAGCCGACTTGAGACTTTCCAAAGAGCTTGAGAAAGGCGCCTTCCAGGCAATGAAACTCATAGGTTTTTTGGAAGTAACTTTATTTTCAGCCGAGATTTAACAACGATTCGGTTCTTCTGAAAAATCAAGGACCTACCCATCAGTTGATAATGTTGTTTCTTCCCTAGTGATGACCATCGCAACATCTTTGGTCGCAGTTCTGTAAAGTATGTATTTAGTAGGCAGTTGTTGCGATGAATTTGCTTACTGATGATAATGCTAGTTATGTATTTATATGGAAGAACAGTATACAGGTAAGGGAGGTTGTGATATGAAGAAGAAGCAAGATAAGACAATGAAACACTCTTGTTTTTTCGGTTATTAACTCAGTAAGCACTTGAAAATGATCGTAAATGAAAGCATCAAAAGAGTCATAATTGCCGCAAACTGTGTAACGCTATACCTACAATTAAGTTCTAAATATTCATGCAGTTTTGTCACAAGCCGTATAGTAGAGGTGGGAGCACCTACTGGACTTCTGGATTCACAGACATTAAGCTTCCCCTGCACATGGTTAGAAACGAATCGTAATTGATAAGAAAGAGTACGGTTTTTTTAGTTCTGGTTGGTCCCATCTTGGTTTAAGCCGAAACAATTGTCTTCCATTGAGGATCGTAGTGACGCTCCAACAAAATTTAGCTTACAGAAAGACACACCGGGGCGTTCATTCTTTTGGACGAGTCCTCAATTGGACTAGATGCAGAGGGATAGTGAGCCAAGGAAAACACCCATTCAGGATCTGATCCTTGAACCAGACCAGAATGAGATCGAGATTTCCTCTACTCTTTGCCACCTCTTGATGTAGCTTCATAATTACTGACACTAAGTAACAAGGCGGAGGTAGTATAGTGCCGAGTACCAGTTTATCGCGTGCGTGGTCCAGGAATCAAGTCCCGCCAAGCCAACCAAGTCTCCCACTACTCCGAGGTTGGTCAATTGGTAGCAGACTCATCTAGAAGGAGCTACTGATTCGAATCGAATTCGAAAGAACTGATTCGTACATCGCATGGCCACCGCAAGTTATTGTAGAGGTCACGTACGCATTCAATACGCCACTTAATTCTAAACGGTAGTCGAATACCCGGGAAACAGGGTTGATTGACGACAGAAAACTTAAGGTTTCTGTGGCTAGCTAATTCGGATAAGGTCACTGAACTATCGAGAAGACGATTCAGTTATGATCAACAGGCCATCCTGTTCTATAGTGCATGAATAGCATTTACCCTTTCGACCAGCTCAACGATAGACAACGGCTGCATCTTCAGCAGACCAGATAGAATAAGACATTGTTCTAATGGAGTGATCATCAGGCCAACGTTCGGACCAAGCGAAAGAATCTAACATTTACATTTTGCATTTGCAGCAACGTACCATATAAAACTATCCGTTCCAACGACAACGACGACCTGGACGAGATTCCATGTAAGATTTACTCCTTGAACTATGACAAAGACCCATATCCTGCTGGCTTAGGGCCACTTTAAAATAAATATTGCAAACATCGATATCGATCAGATTTCGAAGACAACAGCAGAAATGTCGAGCACTTCGCGAGGAATTGCTGATCTCTGACCACATAATTCAATATTAATTGTGCAGCTATACATCTTATAACCAGATCTATGGCCAAATTCGCTGACTTTACTAAAATTTTCCGTTTGCCTTATTTCCAAACATGAATCAGCTCCGAGCATGAGTCGGAACGAACAAGACGACAGGAAGCAAAGTTAACTAACTTGGAAATTACAAAAATTCAAAACCTTACCTGAACAATGCGAAGGTAGCCATCAGGGATTGAATAGGCGTATCGACAATAGGGAAAGGGGATTCCAAGGAAGAAGGTTAGTGTCATACAAAGCGCATCAAATGACAACATTCCAGTGGAAGGGGGGGGGGGGGTGCGTGGATTGAATTGATTGAAGACGTGGATGACTTCCGTCGAATTTGACCTGCTAGATCAAATGTGTGGTAGTGAACCTTCGTCAACCCTGAGGGTCCCATTTACAGAATCATCATGAAAAGGGGTTTCATGTAGAAGGGCAAGTTCAAAAAGCAAATATCACCTTTACAGAAATCTCCACTTGGCATCTTAAACTTGTATTTATGTGAAGAGGATTCACCAAGTAAGAGGAAAGGCAGAGGACAATGGCCGCACCTTTGGATGAGTAGAGAGGGTTCAGTTTTACAAAGGCCATTAGCCATGATTACTCAGGACCTACTCTACTTCGACAGTCAGTGGCCTCTGTAGCCATCGCCACAGAATCCCTCTATTGATCCTCCAACTCAATCCCACTATTTATTTCTTGCCTCTAACTCCTTCAAGGGCTCTTCAGTCTATTGAAAGGACACATAACCTCTCATTAAGACGTCAATGTTAATCATCAATGTTTTGAGTCATTCCAATAAGATTTCCCAAACAATCCTATTATCCTATTAGGCAACTGGGGAATGTGTAATGATAACGTTAACTATTTGTACTGGAGGAAGTAATGAAACGAGTTATTCTGAAGATTTATTCATACAAATAGCGTTTTTTACCAATTTTTTCAACAAACAACTCACCACTCGCCAAAGGCTTGGCCGAAATTCAAAACAGATGAAAACAATTGCTCATAAAGAATGAGTCAATTTTTTTTGTACTTTTTTTTCTAAATATCACGAAGTTTAGGATCATCTCAAGATGAATTAGTATTGACAAGTCTTGAAAACTAAAAATCGAACAAGTTTTGATTGAAATAACAATGTCTAGAGGATGTTAATGGTCTTATCATGGCTTCCGAGATTCTTGCAGGAAAAACTACAGAAATGTGGGAATTCCTTTTTTGGAATCAATCTTGGAACTGTAGGGTCGTGAAAGGAATCAGAAATGATTCCCTTCACTGCTCTACAGATCTGACCTCAAGATTTTGGCATCAACCTTGTTCTTTGTAAACTTTGGTATGTTACTGGCCAGATTTGCTTAGACACATTTCTCCAATTTTTATTAAAAATAGGTAATATAAAAAATAAAATAAAAAATAAACTTCAGTGAGGTTCAGGATTGTTTATGAAGTACATAGCTAGAGGTCAAAGTGCAGTAGCAACGGAAACGTCGGATTAATAATCCATATGTGAACGCTGACATTGAGTGGGTGGGGATGGAACCTCTTTTGGACCAACTCACGATCGGATACTGCTTTATTCATGAACTTTACGCATGCGATAATCATTTAGTTTCTGCTATGGCGAACGACGGGGTTNCATTTCTGCATTTTTTATTAAAAATGGATGATATAAATAATAAAATAAAAAAAAACTTTACTAAGGTTCAGGATTGTTTATGAAGTATATAGCTAGAGGTCAAAGTGCAATGGCAACGGAAAGGTTGGATTAATAATCCCTATGTGAACGCTGACATTGAGTGGGTGGGTATGGAACCTCTTTTAGACCAGCTCACGATCGGATACTGCTTTATTCATGAACTTTACGCATGCGATAATCATTTAGTTTCTGCTATGGCGAACGACGGGGTTATTTGTAGAAGACCACCTACAAGACACAAATCTGAATCACTGTCTGGGCGAGTTCCAAGTCAGTAGGATACGGGAAAAGGAGGGAAATTTTCTGAATCAGCAAATACAAACCTTTAAAGATGAGTGAAAAGGTGTGATTTATGTCCAATAGAGGGTGAAAGGAGTTCACCGAGACGAAGAGGTAGCCCGAGGCGTCTTTCCCATGGGTGTGAACCGGTTTCATGGCTTTTCAGTAGATATGGCTGAGTATAGAAGTAAGTACCTGAGACAAATTGATGTTATTCAGAGACCAATTTCATGAGGATACATGGAGGTGTAGTGTAGTGTGGTTCTACCCAGCTGAAAACTGGTAGGCCTTGTCTTATGTGGAATCAGAAACTTTAGTTTATCATAGATCATTTTCTGTATATCTCTCAAATAAATAAATAAAGCGTAAGGATACTATGCAACCTATAAAGCGAACAATACTTCTGTCGCCAACGAAGAGTTGCCTACATACCTTTCGAAATCTACGCAATGGAAGGCGATTTGGTGCAGAGGTTCTGAAGGTTGAATACCTTGTCTTGAGAATTCTGTAGCCTACACACGTGCATGGCTCATCCCAAATTGTAGTGCATCTGCGAAATCTAGCAGGAGAAAAACCTTTAAACGCTTCGCTTTTTCTCTCTCTTCGTCAGTGCTATTGATCATTCCGGATTAGAGATAAGACTTGTATGGTGATCGATTTCAGTAGAATAGAGCTCATTAAGGGATATGTTGGAAACTTATCATCATGTCGTGGGAACTGCGTGGGCTATAATGGGAAACAAACACCCTCGATCTCAGCTATACCATTTTGTTTGCGACTATTCTGACTTCAAAGCTAAGAGTGATAGGGGGACAGATTCTATCCCTTTTGAGTGAAACTGAGGGGAAAACCCATAGAAAGGCCAGACATTTTCGTCTGTCACCTTTGATATGGGCAGAGAGAGGCGGTCTACTTAAAGGCTACCCTTCAAGATAGCTTTCAAGACGAAAGACGATGGCAATCTAAATTAACATTTGTAAATCTTCAGTCCGATCTCTGGGTTTAATCCCATGAAAGGTGAGGTTTGTTCACATTCGTATGAGCAAGATAAAGGGCTTCAGCAACCTCCACAGTTTATGGGTGAGCTTCTCAGTAAACCTTTGATTTTTACTGGTTTTTCTAGTTTCTATGATGGAGCCTTCCTTCAATCGCACAACTACAAGTGAGGCCATAAAATGGGATGGTTTTCGGGTAGCAGGGAGAGTGAAGAAGAGAAAAAATAAGCACATGATGTGCAGCGTTTCTCCCCAATCTGCTATTCTTCCCTTTACTTCTTCTTCAGCTCACTCAGATTGTTAGAGGTCTTTGCCAAAACATTCGTAACCTGACCCGGTTTTAACAACCCTTCGACTCACTCTGTACTAGGAACCTGAGGAATATCACTTTCCGTGTTGGGAATCTTAGGAGAAAACAAGTGATTCTGCACTCTGTAACGGAACACTTCGCTGTGCTCGCATCTATGAAATTTGGGGGATGGAGGTTTTCATGTACTTCTCAACGAATGGTTCCCAAAATGGAGCTTCTAATAAATGATTTCATGTACCCCTCTGCTAGCAAACTTTTCAAAAATGGAAAAATGGTTATATTTGGGTGAGTATGTACTATATCACTGTTTTGACGACATATCGAACGATGATCCTTTGGTCTTTCAAAATGCAATAATATTTACCTGACCTTATTCGATATACTTGGACGTTTTACTACATATATGAATGACAAATAACAAAAATCGATTTGCCCTTGAACTTAGGATGAACTAACTTGTGCAAAAATATTTTTTGAGACTTCGCTTCTGCAACAATTCATGGAACAATTGGTCGAATCTGATGCAGCGATCCCAACTGCCCCACAGAGGTCTCTAAACAAAGCACGGCAATGTCCTATTTGGGAACCTTGGTGAAAAAACTGCAGTGCATAAATAACAATTCTCCATAAACAGCCTCATACTTGCATGCGAGTTCCAGCACAAGTGAAAGCGTTGGACGTTGGACGTGGATAGAGCCCGTTTTGCATGTGCCACGCGTTTGACTTCTATTCAGAATATGGGAGCCTCCGAATGAGTATTCGACCTATACAACAGCTTTTAGGAATCGACTAAACCAGAATACATTTTTCTTACTTAGGAAGAGTCGGGTGTAGGTACCTCTCCCAAAAAATCGCGTCGTGCTCACCGTACCCCATGTCGCGCAATCGAGCACCAAGAGGGAAAGATTCAAAGCCCCAGTGGAAAGATAAGATAGAATCATTGCCACTTGACGTGGTTATTCAGGGAGAAGTGCCACCACCCGAAAAGTCAGAAGTACTCTCAATCAGACGTTGACGGTGAATAGAAACCTACCTAGCCTCTTAAGGAGTTCACCTTATTCAATCCTGGGAATTCCAATGTGGTCTCCCATGCTCACATAGGCACCGATTCCACCGTGATTAGCAAAGTTAAACCTAAAAAGCACAGCCATCATCTATGCATTCATCTAGGTGAGAAGGAATGGAGGAAGTTTTTAATGATCAATGCTGTTCCCTGTGGGATGCGCCATGTACTGGGCACCGTCATTCTATATTCCTGACGATGCTTGTATCTCTCCATCTACTCATACAGGTTGATAGTAACCAAACCCTTCAGAATCCCAGCCCACCAATAGAGTAGCGAAAGGGTATAAAATCGCCGGTTAGGAGGAATCTTTCCCCTAGTCTGACGGACAGAAGGTAAACAGCGGTCACCAGCAATGAAATCATTCGACAACACATATTTCTTCTCAATCAACAATGTCAAGCAGTAAACAACCACGGAATGCATCAACATTTATTACAATTCTTTACAGATAGTGTACCCGTCATGCTTTACGTAATGAGCATTCAAATATCAGTAGTACGAGTTTCTTTCATTGGCTGATAGCATAAATTATTACCTAAATCGAGTATGGAGTAAGGAATCCTCTTACTGATAGTGTTTGGCCGTGTTGACGAAGGCTAGAATAGCTACTAAGTCCTTTCCCTTCTAACTCCCATGCTCAGAGCTCGTAAAAGGGGTGTCGATTAAGATAAAACCCTGTTCATCGCAGTCACGCCCTTGTCTATCCCAGTTGGAAAGATCTCAGCGAATTGGTATTCCTTCAGTGTTTGACTCCAGGTTAGTCTAGGTATATCGACGTACTCGTTGCCGAGACATGAGGCCGACCAGATTAGCCAGCCAAGTCAATGATATAGTGATAACGGCAAAGAACATGTGCGGTAGAACTGTAATGTATCGAGTAGTCGAAGCTGTTGGGGGAGGATGTTGCAGGACTATGTAGTTCTCTCCTGAGATCGTAGCTATCGAGCAGGTTGAACGTTTCCTAAACTTTCATATAATTAGCCGAGCTACCCAGAAAGTCCTCAAGCGGTTGCTCACCTGTATTGAGCAGATCGTGGAGGTGAACTTCGAGTGGTGATGTCACCATCGGAATCGAACACAGCTCTCTTGGCTCGTTCACGTTGAGCCAGTTGTCTAGCATCTGAAAAAGATAAGTTTGGCCTTTCAAACCCATTTAGAACGGACTTACAATAGCTGGCGATATCGAGGTAGGACCGTGTCCTGATTGTCAAACTAGTAAGAAAGATAACCTTCTGGATGCTAAAAGGAGCCTTGAAAGAGAGCATAATTCCTAGCCAAGGTGAAAAGTCAGCTGATGTACAACTCCGCGTTTTTGCCCTACCAGCAGAGGGTGGTATCGGAGGGTGCTATCGTTTTATCGACCCTGGAGAAATGGTAGACTTGGTTAGCTTGGGCGAATGTCGGTCTGGGAATCAATCCTAGGATCATGCATGTGTTATAGTGCGCCGCTTGCCTCTATATCACCGTTGCCGATAGTCAACTCTTTGACGAAAAAGTGCCTTCGAACTCTACCAATAATCCTTCAGGTTGCGCCATGCATTCAACTTCTGTTGAAGACCTTGAGGCATTGCGACACATGTACCCTTGTCTACCCCTTCACAATGGTCCGATAGGGTGGCAGGATAGGTAGAATGGTTAGGCAGGGACGACGAATGTAGTAGCTCTATTCACCAGACCAATCTATTGACTAACGGTCTAAAAGGATAAGCACATAATTGCTCTGGAAATACGTAATCACTGGACTGCATTATCGGCAATAACGCCGCTCCCCTCAAGCCAAGACAATGTTTCGAAAAAAAATCTTCATCAACGATGTATAACCTATGATATTTCTATGATATTGATCCATACCTAATGGCTGTGGAGGGCAGATCACTTTGTTGAGCTTTCTCTCGTTCACTATCGCCGAGGTTTTTCGGCTAGTTGGGGCTGTCCGTGGACTTGAGGTAGACACTTTCTGCTGATACTGCCTCGGAGTCACTTTCAGTCCTTCTTCAGCTCGGACCATCCGCATAAGTTCATTCATGGACAAATGATTGCTGTAATAAAAGAGAGCAATAAGGAGAAATGATAAAATCTCGTAATGGAGTCCTTTGAAACACTGCCCATTCGTGACTGGGACCATTTCTTTTCCTGATTGGTGGATAGGGACTAACCAATTATAAAGAGGCGACATTCTCAAGGATCACCCACTCCATCGCATACAATTCACTACCCTTCGGGCTATTTGCTTCTCATGAACTCTTCTTTAATTAGAGATAACTGATAGCGGATGAGGTGTACTTACTTGCAATGGTCTCGAGACGTTCTGGCCGTGGTAAACTCTTCCGGCATATCAATGATGACTTGTTTTGGAGAAACCGGATTGCATGGGTGAGTGGCGCAAACCACTCGTCCATTGACTGCCACTTTTGGAACGGTCAGCATATTATTCCCATTTAAGGCAATGGAGAAGGCGGATTTCGGATCCTGAAAGAGATACTTAGAAGAAATTATTCGAATTATGATCTGGCACCATTCAAAATGTAGAAAATTGAGCTCAGATTAAAATCCTTGGGTTTCCAAATGGGCCTATAATACCCACGACACCACCTCCTACTCCCGTTTTTATGATTTGGTGGCTGCCGATCCGTCCCTGACACGGACTCAGCACAGAAGATGCCAATTTGGGGCTAAATTGGATGAACTTGAACGAGACTCCACCTCTTCATTATGTTTCTCCAGCTCTGTCCTTATCCATTACTCTATCTTGATCCAATACAGAAAACCTTAGACACTCGATGTTGAAATCTACCTTAACAGTTTGGTAATTTACGCCTTAGTCACACATGGGGGAGAGCCCATGTGATAACGGCAGCGCTTGGGACAAAGACGGGGTCTGGAATACGTACACGGAGGTACGGAACCCACTAAGGACTCTGGTTTAACCTCAAGTTGACATCATAGTCCCATGAATCAGGGATGTGGTAACTGGCCCAATGATCTTTTGCATAGGGAAAATAAGCAGTCAGTCAGTAACATAGTAATCTGGCATTCGGAATTCCGACTTCTTGATGTCCCCAGAACACGAAGGGCAGATCGTAGGTGCGATTCAATGAGTCTCTCCGAGTTCGAGTAAGCAGTTCTTTCCGAGTAATCAAAGATGAATCACGAATGGTTGTTGGTAAATGCAGTCATAATCTTTGAACAGTGAGATGACTTCGATAAGGAAGAAAGCAAACCTGATTTTTTGACGTCTTCTGTACGTCCTTTGTACAACAACATATCGGCAACCGCAACAGCGATGGTGACATTTCTGAAAAATAGCCTCTCATATGGGTGGAGTAAGCAGAAAACAATGAAACACTAAACGATAACAATCGCGAATTCATGACAAAAGGAATGAAAAGGACTAGAAAATCGCTCATCTGACTCGAGAGCGGGTTAGGTTACACTTTGTTGATTAAAATAACTGAGGTACTCGTGGACTTCCTACTTGTTACTGCCGTTACTTGTAACGAATTGATTGCAAATTTGAGCATTAATCCGATCTTACGACTTTAGTTGGAGCAGTTATACTTTTAATGACTGATTATTCACAACAATTCCACATTTCGGGATTTGAACAGAATTCTTTTTGCATTCCGTTCCCTGTAGAAAAACATTATCTGCAAAGAAATTCGGCCCACTGACCAGGGGTGTGGCATCCGTCAAATCTGAGAGCGTCTGACTCCTGATTCTAGCACATTTCTTAATATCAAATAAATAAAAACACCCCGAGTGGTCAGAAAATTGGGAAAAACTGATTTTCCAGAATTAGATTGCTTTTCTACCTTTTCTATACCTTTTCTGAGTAAAATATCACATTATTTCTCTATGACCTTGACACCTCTCAGGGATTCTAGGCGATTTTAATTTTAACGCACACCATATTCATATATGATAGTAAATGGTGAATGGTATGGGGGGTTGATGGTTCCAGAGACCAAAATTCGAAGCGATACCCACAGTGAAAATACAAATCGAGATAAATTCAGATCATAAATTCGGAAATAAAGTTGTAAAATTATAATTAATAGCTTCGTTTACGTATATCTATTCAGGATAATAGAAATCTTTGTTTATTTCGACGAATAATCAGGAAAAATTTCCTCAATCCATGAAGAACTCGCTAGAAGGGTCTCTTCCGTTTCATACGAAACTTTCCACTAGATCCGGATTAGACCCACATCGTTTATAAAAGCTTTCTTTTCAATCGGAGCCGATTATTCAATGGCTTTCCTGCTAAGAAGAATAAAAACCATACTAAACCTTAATGTCGCGAAACTACGAGTGATTCTGTACCTATTCAAGGTATCTTTGAATAAGTCACATGCATGGCGCATCATGACTAACATCAAGTTTGCCCACTACAATAATCAAACAGCACCTTGTCCTTCGGTAGTTGAGGAATCATCGGATGTTTGCCGACCCGATGACGCTAGTCATGGTAGAAGCTAATGGACCGGTAAAGGAAAGGACCATGTAAAAGAAACCGAAGACAAAGAACTCAGACAGGAGCGAAGAAGAACTGACAAAGCAAGGTGGCTGAGTAATTCAAGAGTTCTTTCATAAAATATGGTATATAATGACCAAAATGGGCGTTTACTTTACCCAACTCATTACACTTACGTATTATGTCTTATATTGTTAACAATAAACAGTATCATCTATTAAAACAAAGATCACATGACGTTAGAAGCAGCATAAGACAGAGATCACATGAGGACTGAAGTACCGGCAGACAAAAATCTAGTAAACACGTGCCCTCGTATGACAAAGATCACTCCCACCATCTTGGTTCGGTTCGACTAAAATGCAAGTGACAAGTAAAGTTGTGTTGGCGCTCCCATGCGGACAGTCGTTGGTGCCGGTCTGCTGGGGGAATGTTTTGCATGGCCTTGCCTTTTCGGGGAGTAGCTATTGCCTCATGAGGTCACGTCTCATACAAGGTTTTTGTCATCTTCGGCACACATCGAAATGGTATCGATTACTTTTTATGGTCCCCTGTTCGAGGAAATGCTATCTTTCTGCTCAATAAAAGCAAACCTCCGCAAAGTAGTCGAAGATACTCAAAAAGAAGAAAGAGGGGCATGAAATGCCACTATCACAACTATGGATACAGGACTGGAAAAGAAGAGGGCCTCCTATCCTTGAAAGCCCAATAATTCCACCCTGGTGGTGTTAAATGAATAAATAAATAAATTTGGTGACGTAAGCTTTTGAAAAGATGGAATGGCCAAACTTACCATCATCCGTCCCGCACAAGCCATTGTTAATGCTAAACAAACATTCAAATAAGACTTTGATCCTGATTGGAATCCATGTTCATGGCGCATCCCCAAAAATTTGGCGCCTCTAAAACAATCCATTGCTAGCCTCGAGAAAAAACGCCAAAATTGAAAACTGCAGCAATGGAATCTGTTCAACCGGTGGGCTTAAGATTTCAACCGCAAAATTCAGAGTGCGCCATGCTACCATTTCCGAGTCTAAATTGTAGATGTAATTGAATTTGTCCTAAACCTACAAAACGATTCATGGGTATGTGTTAAGAATCAAAACATATTACTCATAAAGCTTAGCTTTCACATCGAACAATTGAAGGAGTTGATTGACTGGGAGAATGACTCGATCGTACGGGTTATATGGCTACTTGGGGGCAGTTCTTACAATAAGTCGGTCACTATTGCTGTGACAAATTCTGAAAAGTCGTAAAACGTGTTATTGCTCTTTCCGATTTGGTGATGTGGGATCCTTGATCAAGCCGTAAAATTATCACCTGGTTTCGAGACAAACAATTCATCACAAGAACTCGTCTGATCAACAGCTCGAAATAGGTTTCGAAAAGATTTCGGGTTGAGGAATTACAGGTTTTCTTTTATAGATGTTTCAAATAAAACGTCAAAATAGTTTTGTCACAGCTGTGAGGCACGTGGAGAAAGGGCAACTCGTATGGAGTCATGCCCTTATGAATAAAAACAAAAAAAACGTAGCGTTAAGGTAGCCAATTTAAGTTTATCAAAAGAACATTCCTACTGGC